CTCTTGTGAACACGGTAATGAACCTTCGGGTTCCATAAAATGCTGGGAAATTCTTGAGTAGCTGCACAATTGGTGGCTTCTCAAGAAGGGCTCGGCTCCATGAGTAAGTAAGTAATTACTACTGCGAGTACTGCTCCTGCTAGCACCGCCACCAGTATTACTTCTGCTTTTCCTGCTGCTTCCTTTCCCCTGGTTATGCAGATTCCTTGACATAGTTCTAGCTGTTTTTTTGCTTTTCTTTTCAGCTTCGTCTTCTAATTAATAACACATTTTCACAATTCATGCCTCTTCTTCTATGCCCACTTTACTTTCATTATTATTGAAATCTCAGACCTGATGGTGCGGGGTCAACTAGTTGAAGCTACAGTATATTCAGATAGCCATTGATTCTCCCTTTGCATTTTAGAAATACAAATGTATTCTTTATAACATTTGATACGTTTAAAATCAGCAATAATCAAACTGTGAACCTTGGCAGACATTCCAAGTTAGATGCAGTTCTCAGGACTGTAAGGCTACGGGGATTTCCATAGACCACTTGCCTTACACAGCCCACTGAGTGTAATTTCTGATCACTAGGTTCTAAGGGTGCAAGAGATGCAGTCTCTTGAAACAAGAGTGCCAAAAATTATACTGCAGAGAGCTGAAGAAATGTATCCTCCCCTGAAGGAAGGCTTGGTGAGTGTTCTTTGTTTGCCTGTGTGTAAGTAATTTTATTGTCTTTTCCACTGGATTTAAGTGGACAGAGAAACTAAGTGTTTTGTGACAAGGTTACATTAATTTTCATTCTCCAGCTTTACAATTCTGAAAGGATGGCTGTAAACACTTCGTATTCTGGCTCTCAATTACTGTAAAGAACAGTAAAACTATCCCTATAACAGGATGTTGAGACTCCCACATTTTCTAAACAGTTGCCATTGAGGTTGTCAGCTTTATGCACCGGCCACACATTTACCTGCAGGAAGACTCCTGGTAATCATTTCTGTTAGTGGCTGAGTTGACCCCAGGGTCATAGTGCAGTGGGAAGGATTAGGTCAATTGAAAAATCCAATGACTTCATTGGGAATCAAATCCATGACCTTCCAGCTTGTAGCATAGTGCCACAACGACCTACGCTACCTCATGCCCCCTCTCAATTACTGTAACATTTGGAATATTTTGTCTTTTGGTTTGCTACATTTAGTAGCTAGTAATTGGGATGTATGGAAGGACAGAATTAGTAGGCATTTGTAACTTACTAATTTTAGAGTTAGAATCAAGAAAGGCCCAATTCAGACATTGACTTTTCAGTCTTGAATCTTGAGATTTATTGGAGTATCAATTCCCATTTGTGTTATAGGATACGAACTGCCCAGTGCATGCATTGTAATTGAAATGGTTGGTAGCACTAGCACGAATCGACTTGTAAGCAGAAACTGTCTCTGATGCCCTCATTTGGCCCGTGGTGAAAAACATCATGGTTCTAAAACTGAACTTTTGTTTAAGTACAATGATTTTTTAACATTTTTCATTAAGAGGTGATATAAGGGGGTAAGTAGTACACAGGTGTATTGCGAAAAAGTGGCTGTTGCCATAAATTGGGATTACAGGAAAAAACAATTGCTGCAGTAAAGAAAATTCTCATTTTTAATATAAAAATTTTTCCATATTCTCATCTTGAACAGAAGAACTTGTTATTGTTCATGCCTAAGAATGAGGTGATATTACAGATAAAATATTCCTGTTAGCCACATTCCAAACGGTACTTCTCTGTGTGACATGTAGCAGAACACTTGTTGGGGTGTGACACATGTCACAATAAACAATGTTTCTCTTGTGCCTCCTTCCACTTTTCTGATGGAGCTAACTGCACAAACCTTTGTTACCTTCCCATCCTATCCCAGAATCAGGCACAGTTTGCTATTCAGATGGTCTTTTACATCTGTCAATTTTGATCCTCCTCTCCTTTGGGTCATTTTGTTTTGAATGTTTTCTACCAGCCCTTTAATCACTTCTAACGGAGCTCCAGGTGAGAGAAAGATGGAAGGTCTGCTGACTGCCAGTTCATGTTGAAAAGGTAGAAACTATTCACAGGGGAGACCTCTAAAATCCAGGAACTGCAGTGGTCTCCTGTGTCCACTCCTCCCATTTTAAATGTGTACTCTGTGACAAACAGCAGATTTCTGGAAACTTTTGCAGTCTTCCTGGAGGCCTCCTTTTTAACTGGATATCCACTTTTTTTTTGTCCTTCCAGGCTAATGTGAGATATTTATCTAGTTCTCTATAGGCTACTTCATTGTGTTTCCTAAGTTTAAATGCTTTTTCTTTCATTTGTGTGAGCATGTCCTTTCTGTTTTGTAGTACAGTTCCTGACAAATGAACTTCTATTTCAAAAGTTCCCAAGCTAAGTCAGTTAAGTATAAAAGATATCTATGTATAGATGGTACCATTTTTCATGTGTTACATTCTGAACCTTTCCTAGGAGTTCTAGAACAATCCTGGTAAATGTAAGCTCTGAATTATCAGACATTTTGTAATTGTTAACCCATAATGGACTGAAGCCAGAAACACACCCATGTGTGGAATTACATATATATGTGAAGTCCCCACTCTGTTGGCTTTTGTGGATTGTACACTTTGAAAACAAGATGGCCCTTAAATTTCACAGTTGATTAAAAAAATTTAAGATTGCACATAATCAGTTTTTCCATCTCGGGACTGTATGTGCCTGTCTGCGGTTCCAGCACGTGGAAGAGGAGAGATTGCAGGAATCTCTTCCATAAAAATATGTCCCTGTTAAGCCGTGAAGAGTCAAGCCAATGTTCAGAGAAAAAGTTGATGGAATATTTCACATGTTTTGCCCTATTGGAATGCCGTCAGGTCTTCACATGTTACATCTTTCCACTTAATCCAAATGTAATGCTTTTCAAAGGCATGGATACCTATGCTATTTATTTACATATCAGTTAGTTTCAGCAGCCATTTCTTCAAACAGAGTTTCACTAAAAATAGCATAATAATCATATGGAGAAACAGGCATTTGTCCATTTTGAGGTGGATTATAACCTGATGAGGCACGAAATGGTATTGTATGAAAATGTGGTCATTTTCATCCCAGAGAGCCCAGTATCACGTTTCTCATTGTAACAACTGGTGCAACCATCATTTGCAGTTGCGTGACTTGTCAGCAGAATTATCTATGACTGTCACTCAAATCAAAGTCATTACGTTGAAAGTTTGTGTGGAACCAGCATAACATCTAACAGGTTACTTTTTATTTATAATTTTGCAGCTGAACAGTGATTCAGTCAAAGTAGAAAATGGGATGGATGTTCTGAGTGAAGGAGATTCTGCTGACACAAAGAGCAACAATGAGGTTTACACGCCATTGTTAACATTTCCCATGCAGAAGGCTGAACCTGAGGTGGGCCATGTTTTCTTCTTTGAAATTTTGTACTAGTAATTGATGTTTCTTTGCATGTGTGTGTGTGAGTGAGAGAGAGAGAGAGAGGAGTTATCAGATATAATTTTTCCTTAAATGTATTCGGTGTGAGCTTCTATGTAGTTTGTCCAGAAAGTAAAGACCATTTGATGATAAAAAAAAAATTTAATAAAATAAAAAATATATATTTTATGTCATTACTAAAAACCTTAAATAATTTTTTACATAATCTCCATGAAGATTCTGGCAATTGTATTGTTTGACAAGTTTCTGTATGCATGCAGCTCAAAAAACTGCTTCAAGTAAAAATCACTTGCAGTAAGGTCCAGACTGTAGGTAGGATGGAAAGAAACGTCGTAGGCAAAGTCAGCAAGTAGTGCACATGTGCTAGCGATCCTTACTTTCTGGATGACCCATGTAGATGCTCATGTTCCATTTGTGGACCCCTGCATTTAACAATATTGGAATGTTAGAAGTTCCAGTGTGGAGAGTCGGCTGTCGTGCTTGCTGCCTTCTGTTAGGCATATCTGTTGAAAGCATCAGACGTGCATTATCTTATGATTATAAATTTTACAGCAGACCATCAGTGCAGTCAAGCTAGAAGATGAAGTAGATGTTCCAAAAGAATATTGCTTTGACATGGAAACTGATAAAGCTTACATACCATCAACATTTTCCATGCAAAAGGCTAAACCTAAGGTAAGCCAAGTTTTCAGGTGATTTCTGTGCTAGATGCTGATGTGTGTGAGGAGGAATTGCCAAATACCGTTTTGTCTTGAAAGTATGTGGTGGTCAGCTTATCCTGTTTCTAGATTCCTGCATTCATTATGAGTGTGGCATCAGCCGTTGCATGTCCGCTGTCATGTGTATGTATATACTGGAAGCATAAGCAATGCCATATAATAGTATCTTTTATTTGTAATGAGGCAAATGTTTTGCTGAACTTGAGAATGTGGTTCCACACAGTGACACAAGAAAAATGTCAACATGAACACGTGTGAAATGGGTAGGTTTCAAACCTATGACCCTGTTGAAGTTTAGAATACATGAAAACGACATTACAATGAGCAGCGGATTCCTTCATCACAACCTGTACACGTAATGACGGCCAGTCAGACCAAAATATGTGATGACAGTAAAGAGAAAATGACGAGAGAATATTAGCCAACTTGCACATGGACAGCAGGAAAGCAGAACACAAAGTCAGATCAAATTTGGCAGGTGCTTATTACCATTTAGTTTAGAACTTTCTTGCCTTCCTGTCTCTGTATAAAATATAGAGATTAAAAGACAGTGTAATTCGAGCCATCTCTTTATAGGGGTGAAATCTTTTCATTGTGTTAAGTGGAGAACATGGTTTGTGAGGACAGGTTGCTGAACAGAATATTTGGATCTAAGAAGGAGTAAGCAACAGATGGCTGGAGAATGTTGCTTAATTGTGCTTTTCACCAGTTATCATTGGGATCATCAAGTAAAAGAGGATGAGATGAGCAGGTCGAGTAGTGTGAGCATGGGAGAAATAAGAATTAGGTATAAAATTTTAGTTGGGAAGCACAAGGGAAAGAAACAGCCTAGGAGACTTAAACATAAATTGAAATGGATCTTGAAGAACTGGATTGTGGAGTTTGTTCTGATCATGATATTGTGGTGTATTCATGCCATGCATAAATAGTTGAGCCGCAGAAATCTGTACACACGGCTATTACACAACAGTAAGGAAAGCGGTGTTTTCTCTGTGCTGTGCTGTGCCGAGCTGAGCCAAGTCCAGCCGCACCATGCTTGTTGCTACGCAGCATTGCAGTAAACATCTCTCAGCAGCTTTGCTTAGCAACTCCTCTGTAAACACGGCGATTATGCAACAGACGGCAGGCTGCATTTTCTGCCTGTCCGATTGAGGGTTTGTAGGAGAAACTGGAATCCCTAAGAAGTTAGAGTTGGTCAGTTCTCAGAGTGAGTCCACAGAGTCAGTTACAGGAGAAGCACATAAACAGAATACAGAAGGTTGCCCTTTGAGGATGTAAAGTGTGATTTAGAAGATTGTGTGTGCTGTGATGCAGAGATATCTGGAGCGATGTGAAGCGCTAGTTCCTGTGGTTTAATTGCAATACTAGGAGAGGACTAGTGTGTGTTCATGCAACAGTGAATTATAAAGGGTGTGTAAATCAGCGATAGCACTGTAATTTGAGTGTAATTAAGAGAGAGTGTGACCAAGCTACTAATAAATCCAATCATCTGAACTAGAACCCGTCATTTTGTCACGTGGCAGTATCATAACAAACTGAGTTTCATCTGTTAATAGTTTTTCAGAGTACTCAGACATTCTGTTATGCTAAAATAAAATGTTGAATATGCTTGAAATTCGTAGTCATTAAATGATTTGATTTCCCTTTCTTTGAGAAAATAATCTTAAACATTATTACATAAATTTGCCCAGTATTGATGGACCTCTCTTCACGCAGTTAGGAGTCTGTAATGATTTTGATACTTGTAAATCTGCAGTTTGACTGTGATGGAAATGTATTTTATTTCATGCAATGAGAGAGCACAGTCATGATTGATAAGGGTACAATGCTTTCACAGAACTGTATGGATTTCCTGACGGTTGAGCCTGGATCAAGTAGCGAGGCATGTCCAACATCTTCTCATGATGGGAATCAGATCATTGACATAAAAGTTGAGGTCTCAGACACTCAGGATGTGGAGGATCCGCTGCTAATAACATTATCAGAAATAAAGGCTGAACATGAGGTGAGTTGTGTGTTGTGTTTGTGCAAATGAAACATCTCCACTCTATTGAATGGATTTTGAAGAGTTCTTTATTATTAAACCTACTACCCTAACTTGTGCACTGTTCACTTTAAAAATTAATATAAAATCTCCTAATTAATTTTGTGAACTAAAAGTTTTGGAGAACACTTACCAATGCTCCTAGAAGTGCTTGAGAATGTGATAATTCTGGAAACATTCCCCTTTGTGAAGTGGCACTTGCAATGTAGACAGTCATACTCCTTTTTTTGTGAACTGTGCAAACACGGCATTGCCTAGAAGAATGCTTCCCCTTGGAATGTTCACTCTTCACAATTTTCACGGGGTTATGTTTCCGCATATCACCCGAGAGTCGCCCAGGGGCGTCCACATGAGGCCTGTGTGGGGTGGGAGTTGATGGGCCCGGTCGCCCAAAGTCTGTGTCTGACTCTGGTCCTGCCACCACCATCTGGACTGTAGCCCAGGCCTTTGCCACATTCATCAGAAATGCTTTATATTTCAATTTCAAATCAGGGTTCAGATTTTTGTAAACCAAAAATGAATTACTTTTCCCCATGTGGCTGTCCCTGCAATGTTACTACCCGCATTTTCATCGGAGGTACTGTCACTTTTACTGTCCGTGGCCACAATTTTTTCTTGTCCCCTGTCACTATCACTACGCGTCTCACAAGGCACATCAGATAGCTCATCGGAGAACAGTTCGTCCTTGATCCATATTGCACTACTAACTTACTGCCTGGTATATACATACAGTTGAAGACAAAGGCATTTTCTTTTGGAGTGGGATAGGAAAACAGCGAGATCATGTTACTGACAACTAAGAAAACATTTGGGAGGTTTATTACACACCAGTTATGCATCTGCGTGGCACCAGGGCAAGGTATAGTGAGTTGCAACATAACATGTCCTAAAATCATAATATTATGCAACTGGTCCACAAACTGTTAAGATACATGAAATTAAATACTGACTAAAATCAGAAACAGAGTGGCAATCTTGAAAAAATTGAGGTTAGGTTAAATTTGAGGAATGCTTACAGTCACAGAGTTCATATGAGTTGAGGAAAAATGGATTAATATTATTACACAGCGGAACAGTTATTGAATGAATAGTGACAGTTATAGAAATGTCTAAAGCATCTGGTTGGCACCACTGCACTCATTTATTATACTGAACATAAACCGTGTTTACAGGGGCATGCGGTAGTGTAGTTTGTTGAGGCACTATGCTACAAAGTGGAAGGTTGCAGGATTGAATCCTGATGAAGTCATTAGATTTTTAAATTGACCGAATTGTTCCTGCCACACTATGGCCCTGAGATAAACTCATCCTCTAACAGAAATGAGTACTAGGAATCTTCCTGGGGGTTAAAAGGCGGCCGGCGCATAAGGCTGACCTCACCGCCATCTGTGAGCCAACTGTCTAGAAAATGTGGGAGCCTTGACCTCCCACACCCTTGTGGGCCTTCATGGCCTGTTACAGGGAGGGGCTTTACCTTTCTTTTACCCTGTTTATAAAAGATAATTCACTTACAGTTTTATTAATTTTTATTAATGTTAAAAAGATCAATATCCTAACTTTTCAGTATATTACACTTCCAATCATATGTGTGCACTGTGTGAAGGCAAGAGTGTGTGGATCACCTAGTCACAAATGAAAGCAGACATTATACATCAGGCTTACTGTGCTGGATTCATGGGATACTCATAGATTTTTTTATTCTGTCTGTGGATCAAACTGAACACACAGGCAAAGCATCTGTTGTAATCATCAATCACAACATGATCATATGTATAGAAATAACATGGTTTAGGATCCAAACATAATTTTATGCCCAAAATAGGCTACAGACTCATGTTTCAAATTATATCAGAAAGATTTAACTTAAAACTTACTGTCCAGAAGGCATGGAGTACTACATACTAGTTAAATCTGCAAGCGAACTATACCAAACGAGCAGCTGCCACTTGTCGGCAAAGTTAGTGCCAACTTTAGCGGTAGAGGGTGTCCCATCGTCAGCGCAACGAATCCCCATGGCCGTTAATCCGTGTTTTCTAGGCTGGGGCCACTAGTTCCTTGAAATAGCTCCTCAATTATCCTCACGAGGCTGAGTGGACACCATTCTGGACCCACTACTTCTCAGAAAATCTGGTAGCCCCAGGAATCGAACTGGGGACCTCTGGATCTGTAACCAGGAACTGTGACCACTAGACCACGGAGGCGGTCCTGAAGGAATCTGTAAATTTATTGAGACCTGCTTTGTTATTTGTTGAGGTCAAGTATGAGCTGTGTTGTGACTAATTCACATGAGTGAGGGTCTTGGTGACTATGCAGCATCCTTTGTTGGGATGATTTGACTTCAGGCAGCTGCAGTTCATCTTTTCCATCTTTGTATCCACCTTACACCCTGTTGCTAAGCAGTGACTCTGTAAACAGTGGCCATTGCTAGGTAACACATGCAACAATAGTAGAATGGTGTTTTCTATGTGACCCCTGCCTTGATCATTGCTATGCAACAGCCCAGTAAACACACCTCCACAATGATAGAGGGGCTGTGTTTTTTGCGTGGTCCATGCAATGGAGTTTTCTTGAAGACAGTTGGCACTACAGTGCAGTTGAGTTCAGGCCTGGAGTGTTAACCAGTGGGCAGCGGCATGACCACGAAGCTGAAGACTCTCCATTGTTAAGATTCGTTACCAGGAAACATCTAGTGAACACATTAATAGAGAAATAGCCTTTGTTGAGAGCTTCGGCTGCTAGCACAGTGCCTGAACCAACTGTGCTACCACGTGCCCCACTGCTAGCATAATGCCTGAACTAACTTTGCTACCACGTGCCCCGCTGCTAGCATAGTGCCTGAACCAACTATGCTACCATGTGCCCCAATGCTAGCATAGTGCCTGAACCAACTATGCAGCCACATGCCCCGCTGCTTTATGAAGGCAGTTAATACAGGGTGTCCAGATTAAAGGTATCCAAAATAAAATAATTATATCTCAGAAAGCTTTTATTATACACATTCATGGATTACACCACTACAAGGGGAAACTATCAAAGTCTTTTCTGGGTGTATAACTTTCATAATAAATTTCAGTGTGGGCTCCCTTGGTGGCACGACAAATATCCAGACAATCCAGCATGTTTGGTGTTACCATAGCCACAGTGTCCCTT